GACTAAGGTAATAATGAAAAGTCATTAAACTAGTGATTAAAAAAGAACGTCCCATCGAGTTGCAGCCAACTCTTAGTGACCTCCTCCGCAGGGTGTTCCAGGCAAGAGAGGAGCAGAGGTGGTTTACCATTGACTTCCTCTGCATAGCCACCCCTGTTTTCCTTAGTGGGGGTCACATCCAAGCACTGATTGGGGCTGACCCTGTTTAGCTTCCAAGCTCTGATGAGTTCGGGCTAGGCTGGCAAACCACTAAAAAGCAAGTTGCCAAAGGGGAAACATGACAGGCATCTGTCTCTTTTTCCTAATTGCTGCCCAGGAAGAGGGGAAACTTTTGATCTGGGGAATGGCACAGCTGGGGAAGAGTCTCCCCCTCCTCCAGGGCTACAGCCCCAAATCAAAAGGAGGGGGGCTTGTCTTACAGCCAGTTCGTAACCCCAGGTTAAACATCATGGGGTGTGATTGTGTCTGCCTCCCTCCAGTTGTGTCGTCTGGTTGGTAGCCTCTCTGTCTGCTCCAGTAATGTCAGTATATTTTTGGCAGGACTTTGGGATATGGGAACGTGGTGACAAGACAAACCAAGGAATCACAGAACTGAATGCCAGCTCAGTGGGGATAGCAAAGGTGAGGGTGTTTCCTTGGCCTGATATCTTTTTGGGGGGGGCAGTCTTTGGGGGGTGGCAAGGCTGAGGCTGCCCTGATGATTCTTCCTGATAGCAGGGTGGGGGAAGACAAGCCTGCAAAGAGTCTTGTTTCACATCTCACAAAGGACTGTCTCGTCCACTGTCTGACAGTGGGCAACCAGGTGCCTCTGGGAAGCCAACAAACAGATCCTGGAGGGGGATGGCCCAGCTGTGTTATCTTTGACCATGGAAGTTCTTTTGTTGCCATGGGCTGATGGGCACCCCTCCCCATCAATAGACTGGTCTTCCCTAAATGTATCTGATTTCCTAAAAAGCTGTTTCTACTAGGGCTAGTTCTGGCAGCTTGGCCTCTGGGGAAAGGGCTGCTTTCTGCCACTGATCTTTGCTTCCTCTTTGGCCGCAGGCTGCCCTAGAAGCCTTAGATGAGCTTGACCTCTTCGGAGCCAAGGGGGGCCCCCAGTCAGTTATTCACGTGCTCTCGGATGAAGTGCAGCATTGCCAGGTAAGGGTGTGGGCTATGTGGGCGGTGCTTCAAGCACCTGAAACCCTTCATGCTTTCCTTCCACTCCTGGGAGGAGCATGAGAAGAAGAAGAAGAAGAAGAAGAGATTGGATTTATACCCCGCCTTTCACTACCTGAAGGAGTCTCAGAACAGTTTACAATCTCCTTTCCCTTCCCCTCCCCACAACGGACACCCTGTGAGCAGTGTTCCCTCTAAGCTGAGTTAGTGTGAGCTAGCTCACAGTTTTTTAGCCTCTGGCTCACACATTTTTGTTTTAGCTCAGGAAGGAGGGCTCCAGAACAAACCAATTTATGCAGTAGCTGAATCACTCGCTCACAACTTTAATGCCATAGCTCACAAAGTATAAATTTTGCTCACAAGACTCCACAGCTTAGAGGGAACATTGCCTGTGAGGTAGGTGGGGCTGAGAGAGCTCTGAGAGAACTGTTCTTGAGAGAACAGCTCTGAAAGAACTTGTGACTGACCCAAGGTCACACCAGCAGCTGCATGTAGAGGAGTGGGGAATCAAACATGCTCCTAACTACTACACCAAACTGTAAACGGAGAAGACAAGCAGTTGGGAGACCTTGGACAGGGCCACATTGTTTGGAGGTGGTGGACTAGGAAATGAGGTTTGGATGAGCATGGCCATCTTTTCCCAGAGTGATGGAGAAGGGGCATTTCCCATAGAGTTATTGCGCCCCATACAGTATAGCTACATGGTATGGCCCTGTGTGTGTGCGACCCAGAATTGATGCCTGCCTTAATGTAGAGGTGTTTCACATCACCCACTGCCTGATCCTTTTACTTGGAGATGCCTGCTGGGAATGGAATCTGGGACTGTCTGCATGCAAAGCAGATGCTCTCCCACTGAGCCACTGCCCCCTCCCAAAGACCTGATCAGCATTGGCTTCCCTACCACAGCATTTTCTCCACCAGAAAATGTGCTGCCAGGGTAGGGCTGTTTGCCCCTTCCTCTGGCTTCACGTGCTGTGGGACGGATGTGTGCCAGAGGAAAAGGCAAAAGGGCTGCCGTTCTGCTGGCCAAAATGCCGTGAGAGGGAAGCCCAGCACCGCTCTCTCCCCCATGCCCTGGTTGCAGCTGAAAGGAGAAATGGAAAGCTTTTAAAAGGTGAATTCCTGCTTGAATGTAAAGCCATGAGTCAGGTTGGGAACCTGTGTTCTGACTTGTGGACCATACTGTGTATTTTGGTAGACAATAGTGAGCTTCACGGACCAATGGTAAGGCAGCTTCATGTGGTCGGATCTCCGTATGCTCTAAGAAAGGAACATGAAGCCGCTGAAGCCTGTATTCCATTGGGCCCCTGCTCTCTTGCTCTCTCCCGCCACAGTCTATTCTCCATTCTATGCTGCCACGGGCTTCAACTTCTAAGGAGATCGACGCCAGCCTCCTCTCGGTCATCTCTTACCCGGCCTTTGCCATTGAGGACAGCCACCTGGTAGAGAAGACCAAACAAGAGATTATCTCCAAGCTACAAGTGAGTGTTCTCAAGAAGAGGAATCCTTTGGGTGGTTGCCACCTCGCTCTCCCTCATCTGTGGTCTTTTGAGGAAGATGCATGCCTTAGGCTTTGCAAAGGTTTCAGGAGATTCTTCAGTTTGCTCTTTACAAAAATGCAAACAGAAAAGTGAATGGTCTTCTTGCAAATCTAGTATGAATCTTCCAGTTTGCCAGGCAGCTTGATGAGGTTTCTTTTTCTCTAATGCTCTTGACTTCTCAGGGCCGCTACGGTTGCTGCCGGTTTCTCCGGGATGGCTACAGAACCCCCAAGGAGGTATGTACCAGGTAGCGTGGGGGGCTGGCAGACTAGTCTGGAATCCCTTCTGTTGTTCCAGGCAACATCAGCCTATCAGGTCAATCACAGAAGCTGATGTACTTCAGCAGGCTGTCTGCTGTGCAGGTCTGACTCCTGGGCACGAGAGGGTGTGATCAGCCAGGCTTAAGCTTTAGCAGACTTCTTTAGAGAGCCTCCTGCCTGCTTCTCCTCCCCTTTTTCTGTCTGTCAGTGAGGCAGCTTCATTGACGGCCTCTGTACCTGTGCGTGTGCGCTCTCTCCCCCTCTCCTTTTGTCTCTCCAGGACCCGAACCGCCTCTACTATGAGCCTGCAGAACTGAAGCTCTTTGAGAATATTGAGTGTGAGTGGCCCCTATTCTGGACCTACCTCATAATTGACGGTATTTTCATGGGCAACGCAGAGCAGGTGAGTGCCTTGAGGGAGGTGGTGGGTGGTGCAGGAGGGCTGGCTGTGAGGGGAGGGAGAGCAGAGGGAGGGTATCTGTGCTTGAAACAAAGTCGGCTTCCCAAGTGAGGAATCTGCTTCCCTCCAGCACCTCTGCCCACTTGCCAGAACAAGCCCTCCCACGTTTGGGGGGGTGGCTTCTTGGCTGCAGTGGTGGTGTCTACCTTCGAGTCTGTAGCTCCTAGCCAGTTTGGTGTAGTGGTTAAGTGCGCGGACTCTAATCTGGGAGAACCGGGTTTGATTCCCCACTCCTCCACTCGCACCTGGCTGGATGACCTCGGGCAAGCTGTAGCTCTGATAAGAGCTGTTCTTGAAAAAGAGCAGTTTCTGTCGGTGTTCTCTCAGCCCCATCTACCTCACAGGGTGTCTGTTGTGGGGAGGGGAAGGGAAAGGAGTTTGTAAGCCGCTCTGAGACATCTTTGGGTAGTGAAGGGCGGGGTATCTTTTCTTCTTCTTCTAGAAAGCCAAAGATCTAGGTTTCTTCCTTGAGTTATTTCTGAGTCATATGGGGGGGGGGGATGCTCCGTTGGAACAAATAGGTGTCCCTTTTGCCCTTTTAGCAGTAGGTTTGCAGATCCTTCTTCATTTGCTCACAGGATTTGAAAGAAGAGATGACTGCCCCCCCCCCCGCTTGTGTAGATCGCTGCAGAGACAGATGGGAGTGTTTCCAGTGGCGTCTCCAAAAGCTCCCACCCAGTCCTGGCTAGAGGCAGTTTAGTTAGGCTTACGTAGTCTGATTTCCTCTGCAGGGAAGGGGCATCACCTATCAGCCTCTTTGCCCCCGTATTGAGCTGCTGCACAAAGGTGACCACTTGCCTGGTAACCCTTTGACTCACTGACTCAGCCAGGGGTTCTAGTGAAGGCTCAAGAGTGGAAGGTCAGGACTTGCCTTTTTGATCCCTGGGTAAGATGTAAAAATACCCGAGAACTTATTTCTGATTCAGGAAGATAAGTGAGAGTAGGGTTGTCTGCAGACGTGAACAGACCTGAGAAGGATCGATAATAACAAGCAAAGGGCTGCAGCTAAGCTAGGTTCTTGCCCATGTGAAGGGGAGTTGCCGGGCCAGGAGGCGGATGCAGAGGCAGCCATCACAACTGACCCTGAGTTTGCAAACCAACTCTCATGGATTTCTTTGGCCACACCTTCCCCCCTCCCCCTTTCTTTCCAGGTCCAAGAGTACAGAGAGGCCCTGGACGCGGTCCTCATCAAAGGGAAGAATGGAATTCGGCTGGTACCGGAGCTCTACAGTGTCCCACTGGAGAAGGTGAGTGGCTGTGCTTTTCCCTCTTGCACTTGTGATCTTGGGAAACCCTCTTCTCTCCAGGACAAATGTGAGGGGATGCAATTCTCCTGCAGAGGCCGAAGAGAAAGGTAGTTTTAAAAACCCTACAGATTTGCAGCCAAAGACCTGGCAGGTTATTGCAAAGCAGTTTTCCCACAGCTCAGTCTCTCTGTTTCCTGTTCTCCGGACCTGATGCCTCATTTTGCTTCCTTCATTTCTATGGAAGTCCAAGTAACATCTGATTATTTTTAAACACAAGGTCCTAATACTTCCAAAGATGGCTCTTAGTGCTCTTGACCTTTAGAGCGTTACCTTTTTGTAGGACACAGGTTTTTCAGCGTTGTTATTTGAAAAGTATTTTGGATGATTTCACATGACTGACTTTGAAGACACACTGAGATCTGGGGTGGAAAATCCGGATGGTTGGTCTCTCTCCCTCTCTCTGTGAAGCGTAATGGAGAATTCCAGGAATTCACTGGTTGTGAGCGTCTAAGGCAGGGGTGGCCAAACTTGCTTAACATAAGAGCCACACAGAATAAACGTCAGATGTCTGAGAGCTGCAAGACATGAACAAATATCACACACACATTTTTATTGGAAAATATGCAAATTTGTGAGGTGGGGGCTTGGAGAAAAAAAGCGACTTTAACTTTAAATGTGTCCTCCAAGTCCCCCCGCCCCCCTTGGAGGGCTTGGAGAAGGGATTTAAAGAGACAAATGCCTTTTCCAAGCCAGCTGGTGGTGGTGGGGCTTGGAGAATGCATTTAAAGTTAAAGTTGTTTTCTTTCTCTGCTTCCCCCCCACCTCAAACCTACCCAGGGAGGGGAACACTTGTCGGGAGCCACACAATATGTGTGAAAGAGCTGCATGTGGCTCTCGAACCACAGTTTGGCCACCCCTGGTCTAAGGCCATATTATCCTTAAAATAAAAATATAACAGTGTTCTCTTCCTCTGATAACCAGTCAGATTCCCTCCTTGCTACTTCTTCTCCCTCCCAATTTGCATCTCCCAGTTGCCACTGGACTCCTGCCCTTCCAACTCCCCCTGGCCCTGATCCTCCCAGTTTTCTCTCCCAGGTAGATGAAGAGTACTGCAACCCTCACTCTGTCGACCGTGTGCCGTTGGGCAAGCTGCCGCTCATGTGGGGTCAATCCCTCTACATCCTGGGCTGCCTCATGGCAGAGGTGAGACTCTGTGGTCTGATCCTGTTGGACCCCTTTTGGCCATTGGGCTGCTTTCCTCTGAGGCTCACTTGCACTGATTGTGCAGGAGGAGCTCCCATTGTGTATGCTTCCTGTGTGGTGGTTTGATCTGTGGTGAGGGGTGGTGGACAGAAATCTCCTGTCTTCAGGCAGGTGCAGGGATCTGTGACTGAGCTGAGCCCAAGGTAGGCTTTGATGCTCCCATGCAGCCGCTCAGTGCAGTCTCTCCCTGTAGCAGTGTAGCTTAGTTCCTGACTGTGGGGGGGACTGTGATTGGCAGGCTCACTGTGCTGGAGCCCATCCAGCAGGCTGTCCCAAAATGTGACCCTCCCCCCCTCTGCTTGCAGGGATTTCTGGCTCCTGGGGAAATCGACCCTCTGAACCGCAGGTTTTCAACTGTTGCAAAGCCAGATGTGGTGGTCCAAGGTAAGTGAGAGACTGTCGCTGGGATTGGAGGTGGCTAATCCTCCACGTTGGAGTCTCCCAAAGAATTTAAGTGAAATACTTCATGCTGGGTGTCTTGCTCTGGGAGTATCCTTGGAAGGAAGTGTGTTCTCTTCTTGTAGTGGCTTCCTTTGTCATTTGGCATGGCACTAAATGGCAGCCCACTATTGGCCTTGCCAATGTTTTTTGCAACCTTCTCTTGAACACTGTGGCTGGGTGGGCCTTGCAACTCTTGTTGCCACCCTTCAGGTTCTTCCCAGAGCAATGAGAGCTTCAGGATTCCCATTTCTGCTGTCTGTTGACATTGGAAGGAGTCTGAGAAATGAATTCAGGGGTGCCTTTTCCTCCCTCTGAGTTGGTGATCAGGTTGCAGTCCTAACTATTGTACTGGCTGACTGAGAACCATGCAAGAGAGAGGAGTTGGGTGCTGGAAAACTCTTGGGGGGGACGGCGACTGGATCCTTGGATCACCCTGTCCAGCTGCTGAGCCCTGTGTGTCTCTCCCCTAGTGTGCATCCTGGCCGAGACAGATGCCATCAAAGCTTTCTTGCAGAAGGAGGACATTGAGGTGGAAACAGTGGCCGATGTCTACCCTATCCGAGTGCAGCCGGCAAGAATCCTCAGTCACATCTATGCCCGACTAGGTGAGCTTGGGGGAAGGGAAGGTCACTAATTGGCGGCTTTGTCAAGATGTGGAGTTTGTCAAACTTCTTGGCGCCAGTTGCTCTTCTTGCATAGAGACAGCAATGCAATCCAAACTAGACTGCTCTCATAGGGCCTGGGTTGGGGCACCTGCTAGCCAGACAGGTTTGCGAGCTGTGTTAATGGGCTCTGTGGGATGGACGGAATTGTCCCTGGAGCTGTGAAGCTTCTCTGTTGCCTCCAATGCTTACCACTTTTCAGTCGTGTACTTCCTTTCCCCTTCCCACTGTAGCCCACCTACCTCCATGAAATGCTGCTGTTTGGAGATAGGGGGCTCTGAGGTGGGAAGGGGGAAGCAGCAGAATTTGTAAATTTAGTCTGGATCCAGCTCATTGTCTGGCCTGATCCTAGCTTGTGTGAAAGGTTAGTTGCAATCCAAACTAGACTGCTCTCATAGGGTCTGGGTTGGGGCACCTGCTAGCCAGACAGTCTTGTGAGCTATGTTAATGGGCTCTGTGGGATGGACGGGAAGGCGTCTGCAGCCCGTCTTGTCCCTGGAGCTGTGAAGCTTCTCTGTTGCCTCCAATGCTTAGCACTTTTCAGTCGTGTACTTCCTTTCCCCTTCCCACTGTAGCCCACCTACCTCCATGAAATGCTGCTGTTTGGAGATAGGGGGCTCTGAGGTGGGAAGGGGGAAGCAGCAGAATTTGTAAATTTAGTCTGGATCCAGCTCATTGTCTGGCCTGATCCTAGCTTGTGTGAAAGGTTAGTTCCTGCACTCCATCTGAGCTGCACCCCCAGTGCTTCCCTTCCTGGCCTGTAGCTAATGTGGGACCCATGGGGCCTGGTCCCCTAGTGTTTCTTCTGGGCCCCCTCCCTCCCTGGCTGCCCCCAAAGTGCCCCAACTTACCACCTGCACTGTGCTTTGATTTAATTAGCTGGCGGGCCCCCCAAGGCCCCCTCCCCCAAAATTCCCTAGCTATGGGGCTGTTCCCTTCCTCCTTGTGGTGAGTCCAACTTTCCACTTTGGATCTCTTCCAGGTCGTAACAAGCGAATGAACCTGAGTGGGCGGCCCTTCCGGCACATGGGTGTTCTCGGGACCTCTAAGTTCTATGACATCAGGAACAATATCTTTGCCTTCACTCCACAGGTGGGTATACAAGCTACTATTAGGGTGCAGGTCCTGGTGGTGCAGGGGAAGGATAATAAGAATTGCATCCTGAGATCTTCAAAGCTAAGCAGGGCTGACCCTGGCAAGTATTTGAATGGGTCACCTCTAGAGAAAACCAGGGGTTGGGAGGCCAGAGGCAGGCTAACAAGCCACTTCTCTGAGCATCCTCCATGCCGTAGTAGAAGTTGCCAGAGGTCAATATGACTTCAGGCATGGGTGTGCACACACACATGCACACACAAATGCAAAAATAAAGCAAAATTGCATCCATTCCTGAAAGCTGCTGTGCATTTGGGGAACCAGCAGAAAATGCTTCTGTGTTAGAAAAATGTGATTTCTATGAGGTTTTGAGAGCCTCCTGGCTTGTGAGGAGAATGTATTTAGAGACGGAGTTTGGCTTGTTCAAATGAGCATGAAACATGTTAACTTCACAATGTTCATTGTCCTTTGAATCCACTTAAGCTGTAGGCTTTAAGGGATGCAGCAGAGGACGTACTGTATTAAAGTTCACTTTTCAGAAATGATTTGTTCAGAATGCAGTCTATGCCTTCCGCACCTTTCTCTCCCCATCCCCAGGATGCACAGTGGGGTGTTGACGTTATTTTAACCCTGTTAGCCGCCTTGAGCCAGCGTGTCCAGGAAGGCGGGATATAAATAGAAATAATAAAATAAATAAATAAAATGTACAGTTTCTCTGAAAGATCAAGGCCACTGGTTAGAGCTGCAACTTCAGCATGCAGACAACCCATCTTGGTAATGGTTTCAGCCTCCTGTCACCCTGATGGTGAAGATGAAAGGGTGGTGCATGGTCCAAACAACCTTGAGTGACTGCCCTTTCTGGCCTCCTTGCCCTCTCTCCTACTTTCTCCCTCCATGCGACCCACCCCCATTTTGGGGAGCTCTTTCTCATTAGGTCTGTTGCTCTCCCTGTAGTTCATAGACCAGCAGCAGTTCTACCTTGCCCTCGACAACAAGATGATCGTGGAGATGTTGCGGACAGACCTTTCGTACCTGTGTAGTCGCTGGAGGATGACGGGACGCCCAACGATCACCTTCCCCATCAATCAAACGATGCTTGGTGGGTTTCTGCCTTGCGCAGGAAAGGCTTTGGGGCTTCCTTAATTTGTATGTTTTCCTCTCCACCCCCATTACACAATTCTGCAAGAAGAAGGTGCCATCAGTTTTCCACTGACTCATGGCAACCCTGCACATGGAGCATTCAGGCAAGAGTTGAGCAGAGGTGGTTTGCCATTGCCTTCTTCCACACAGCAACCCTGGACTTCCTTCTTGGTGGTCTCCCATCCAAGTACTAACTGTGGCCAGCCCTGCTTAGCTTCTGAGCATTTGGGCTGAGCTGGGCTTTTCAGGCTGCTACTCAGTTCTGTCCACACAATGGAATGCACAAACCAATTTCTGTGAATTATATGCTCTTTTGGAGGGGGGGGGCTCTCAGGAGTGAGGATTCCCAGACATTAGTAGGGCAGGCAGTTTGGTGTAAGAGCAAGTCTTCACCTGTCTTTCTGAAGGAGGCAAGTGGTGGATTCGGATAGCTACAGATCTTGGCTAGGCTCTGCCCCCCTTTTGGATTGTTACCATTTCTTGTGCTGTTTTTCTCTCCGTGTGAAAGATGAAGCTGGCACCAGCATCCACCCAGCTGTCTTGGCCACACTGCGGAAGCTGCAGGACGGATATTTTGGAGGGGCAAGGTGAGGCGGCTTTGCCTCTTGCATGGCAATCCCTAGTGCTACTGTCAGGCAAAGCATTTGCAGATCCTGGCCGTGGGACACAGTTCATCATTGATGCAGTCCCTAAAAGAGGAGAATCTGGTTAATTTTTTTTAAAACAGAAGAGAACAAGGGATATTTTTAAGCTTCTGGGAAGGTGGGTTGGCTGTCAGTCCAGACTTGTCTTGGACAAACTGGAATTAAGGTGAAGACAGATGTACAACTGCTGGAAATGTGCCCTCGCCCCTTCTCGGACGACAGGCAAACTTCCAAACAGAACCCAGCCGAGGAGCAACTGACTGTTCCTGTTTTTCCAGGAGAAGATGGCTGTGCTGTGCAGTCTGTTGATTGGCTCGCCCTTGTGGCAGTCACAAAGTCACCATTCTTAGAACAATGTTTGTTTTTTAAAACCAAATAGCCAGTTAAGCATTTAAATGGATTGTAGTGTGGCCACTGGAGCAGGGCAGTTCTTAAAATGCCTGAAGCAAAAATTCGCTCTGGTAGTCAGGTTGGAAGAGAAGCAAAGGATGAAAGAGATCTTTATCCTGTAGCTGTGAAGTGGGACCTGCTTCTAGAAGGGGTGGTGGTGGACGGACGGCTGTATTGTTCTTCAGCCTGAGAATGTTGGCCAGAGTGCCCACTGCCTCTTGCTTTCCTTCCCTTTCCTCTCTGACTCTCACAGGATCCAGACTGGTAGGTTGTCTGAATTTCTCACAACTTCATGTCGCACACATCTCAGCTTCATGGACCCCGGGCTGGAGGGTAAGCTCTATGCTGATGACTATGGGCTCAGCCTTGACAGCTTCAGCGATTTAGACCCTGAGGACTGGCTGCATGGCTTTCGAATGTCAGAAGATGGTAAGGAGATGGGTTGGCCCCCTTCCTGCACTTGAGACATGCTGTGGATTTCTTAATCCAGCCCGTAACGCCACAGCCCTCTGATCTGTGCCTCACTCCCTCGATGTAACACTCCTCCGATTCCTACCCGCCACTTAATTAACCTTTTCCTTCTCTAACCTTTACCATGCTGTTAGCAAGACAGAACTGTAGAGCTGAGAGACTCCCGGAATTGGCCACTAATAGCTGGGAGTTCTTGGACTGGGGATCCTGTTGCAAATGTTGATTAGTCGTTCACGTGAAGATATGAAGCAGCCTTATATGGGGTCTGATCTGTGGACCTTCTTCTAGTTCCATACGGGTCTGATCTGTGGACCTTCTTCTAGTTGTGTGCTTTGTGTGCTTTGGCAGAGGCTGTCTATGGTGTGCTGCCCTTGACCTGGGAGTGCCAGAGACTGAACCGAACTTCTGCACAGTAAACTGGGGCCCTTTCAGTCAGACCATTGTCCCACCTAACCTAGTAAATCTCCTCTGACTTTGAGCACCTTTCTGGGCCGCTTCCCAGTGCTGGATTTCCTGTAACTGGGGTTGCCAAGGATTGAACCAGGGGCCTTCTTTGTCCTAAACAAGTGCCCTATCACAGAGCCATGCCCTCCCCCCACCATTAACAGCTTTGGGAGTGTAAAAAGGGTCTTGCAGTTACACACCTGGCTTTACCGCTCACTGCAGGTCTAGGTTGATGACTTGAACTTGGAGCCCACCTTGGAAGGGCAGAAGGAAGGGGGAAAGAATGGATGTCCAGGTGCCCAGTTGAGGGCACACCTCTTGAGTCCATGCTGTTCTTGGTGCACAAGAGCTTTCCAAGGGAACTTAGCCAGTACCAAAGATCATTCTTGGTCAATACAACTGCCTAAGGGTGATGCTGTTGGCTGTCTAATTATTTGGGAAAGATGGCTCTGCTGCCGTAATATTATTGGAAAAGGGTGAGAGAGAGAGATACATAATGCAAAGCAATATCTCTTATAGGAGGGGTGTGCCAGTTTTTGAGTTGCACAGGACATCTCAGATGGAATGGAAAGAGCTACACAGTGGGGTGTTTGAACAGTATTGTTAACAAGGGCAAACCAAATGTAGAGATTTACAGACAAATGCTGGTGTGAGCTCCTTGGCCAGCACAACAGTTTGGTTAAGGCAGACTCCTAGTTCCCTTTCCACGCTGCCTGATGAAGAGTTCTGTAGAATTTGAAAGCTATCGTATCCTTAAGCAATGGCCAACAGACCTTTTGTCGGCATCTTATGCTAGATGCCTATGCTGCAGTCAAGAAGAAAAGGGTGAGCGTACATGTCTGCAGTCTCTTCCCCCCCCTTCAAGGATGAAAGGCTGTCTAAACAGCTGCCCAGTTCTCCATCCCCCATCTGCAGCAGTCCTCAGGCTCCTGTGACCTCTCCTTTTCCCTCTGCTACTGCCAACAAATCCCCTGTCTATACAAACAATCTTCTTAACTCTCTTCTCTTCTTTTGACTCCTCCATCAATCCCGTTATCCCATTAACAGTGCCTGTAACTGGCTTGTGGCCACACCCTCCCTACCACCTTGGGATGCTGGTATTTGTGTTGTGAGTTTGCAGTGGTGCATGCGGGGTTTGCCCAGGTGGCTGGCTGGTTTGCTTCCCCCCTGCCTGTTTGTTTGCAGTGGCTCATCTAAAGAATGGCTATGTACAGACATTTGGGCTGTTGGAACACGAGGGCACGCTAGCAATGGTCAGGGAGGGGGTCTGTCTGTACTCATGCTGTTTAGGGAGGGCGCTCTTTCCCACACAGATCGTCTTCCTGACTGTGGTGAGTGTCCTGCTGATTTTTGGAGGATGGGTGGTCTTCCATTTTCCTAGCCTTCCAGTAAACACATGACCAGGGGGAGGGGTTGGGAAGCGGTATGGAGTGTTCCAAGCAAAGAACAGCTTGCTATCGTCAGGAGCTTGGCTCCTTTGCATGTATCTTCCTCTGGCATTTATGCAGAACCTACAACCTGGAGCTGCTAAGGGGCTGAGATGCTGTTCCCGTTCCCAACATTGGGGTGTGCTTGGCCAGCTCCTGTAAGAGTCTGCCACCCTGCACAACTAGTGGTGGTGTCCAGCTCTTCTGTTTCTGAAGTGGTTGCTTCTCTCTCATACTTGCTGGTGGGACTGCTACTATGCAGCTGCTGGCTTTGTTGCTGGGTGGCTTAGATACATTTGCAGTTGAATAGTGCCAATGTGGCGCAGTGGAAGTAATGACTCCAAGTCCAAGTTGTTGTGGTTTTGTCTGCTTCCCCAGATCCCTGGCTGCAAGTGGAGCAAAACTGCAGCTAGCTTGTGCTGAGTCCTTCAATCTCACTGTTTTGGGGAGATTTTTTTTTCGGGGGGGGGGGGATACAGGCATTAAATGGGTTTCTGTGAATCCCCGACACATCCAAGTTGCCTTGCTTTGACAGCCTGTTTTTTTTGTGTGTGTCTGCAAGTGAGGTTTGACAGCTGTTCCTGTAGAAGAGGAAGCAGAAGAGGGGAATTTGTAATGCAGATGAGCCGCTGGTGGGGTGGTTTACTTTCACATTGCACACCTGATGGGTGCATGAGCTGCTTCAAGGTTTGTGGGTAAAAATTTATTCTGAGCAAGAAGGGAATGGCAGAACCTCACTGTTTCTCTGAGCCTGCTTTACCCAGGAGAAGGGTGTGTGTATTGGGTGTCTTCAGGAGTGGCTTCCCCTGCGAGAAATATGAGGTCCAAGTAACTCAGGGTCTTTCTTCCAGCTGACATCTGTGATGAAGTTGCCCAGTATTTAGACCACCTTCTGGAGCACACAGTTCCCAAGGCCACCCTCTCTGCATCATCTCAGAAGCGGGGGCTCCAGCGCTTCCGTGCAGCAGTGCACACCACTCGTGACCTTGTGTCTCTGATGACAAAGGCCAAAGACCTGCATGTACAGAGTAAGTTAACGTGCTACTGGTGTCACCGATGACCACATGAATCCCCCTCCCCCAGTTCTTTTGTGTGTGTGTGTGGCTTCTGTAATGTTGCACAAAAAGAGCAGCTTCTCCATGTACAGTTTTCCTTCCTACTTGTGCCATTGTCACAGGAGGATTTGTGGCAAAATTTCCCTTCCCCGTGTGACTCTTAATGGATATTTCCCTGAGTCTGGATCTGACATATTTACATGTACATTAATCCGAGTTGTCTTTGAATAGTCTAGTAATTAATCAGCAGATCTACTTAGAAAGTTCTCTGGTTTGCTGTAAGAAGGGAGAAGCCTCAAATCCCACAGCAGCTGCATGCAATGTGTCAAGTCCCCCCTCCCTCCCCCCCAAGACCTATTTCTCCATCACAGAGCTGTTCATCCAGTTCCTGGCCCTGTCTGAATTATGTCAGGCTCTACCGGGCTCTGGGGCCTTTTCAGTGAAATGCAGCACCCTGAGGATCCTGCACCCTTCAGCAGCTCTGTGCACTTTTGGCTTCCTGCAGATGTCAACATGTACATCCCTTCCAAGCTGTTCCAGGATTCCCAGCCATCTGTTAACTTGCTGGGCTCAATGCAAAAGCAAGACACCAAGGTGAGGCTGTTGGACTTTGCTCTCTTGGTCTGAGATGCTCTGCTGTTCAAGAAGGAGCAGCCCATAGTTGTTGTTGTTGTTTTTTTTTTTAGTTTTCTATCTTGTGAACTGTCTACCCCATCGGCTTTTCCTGACCCATTCTATCCCAAACTGTCTGATTAGAATGTATTGATTTCGTGACTCTTGTGCTCGTTGGCTGCGTCAGGCAGGCCAGATAAGGGGCTCGGGGGGGGAGGGGAGGACGTGGGCATGCATAATGTCCTCCTGAAGTCAGTCTGGCCTCTTCCTTCTCCACAAGCCATCCATCCCTGTTGAGGTGAACCTCCCTAAGGATGCAGCTGGGAATGTGGACTGCAAGGTCCTGGTGGATCAGCTCCGTGAATGCGAATCCCTGCAGGACCAGGCCAACTACCTCTATATGCTCTACACCCTCAAGTACGAGTATGGGCAGGGCTTCCAGTGTATGATGGGGGGGGGGGCTGTTAGGCCAGTTTCTTTGCAAGCATGCAATTTAAGTCTTGTGGTTTTCATGTGTTATCTCTTTCTGACCACACAAAATTCCTGGGTTACCTAGCCCAGTTTGTCAAATCCACGAGGGCTGTGCATCATGACTGCTGCCATCCTGGATTGCTCTGGGTGGCTACCATTTGGACAGGAGTTCTGCCACTCTGTGTGTGGTTTCATGACTAAGCTAATCTGGCTGTGTGGATCTGCAAAATGATAGCTGCCATCTTGGATGTGGAAGCTCAAAGAACATTGTAGGCCAGAGCTGAATCAAAGCATATAGAACAGAAAGTTGGGATCCTTCAAGTGGGTAGAGATTAGGGCTGGGCTGGAAGTTGAACCCTTTTCTGAATTATATGGTGGCTCTCTTTTGCAGGGGGCCAGATTGGGATACGGAGATCTATGGTGAACCTGGGGTCACAGTCACTGATCTCCTCACAGAGCTATACGGCAAAGTTGGTGCTACTCGCCAGTGGGCCCTGATCCGGTACATCTCTGGGATCCTGAAGAAGAAGGTGGAAGCTCTTGATGAGGTAATGGGTCCCAGCCTGAGAGGGGGAACTGCCTTTTCTGATGGGGTTTATTGATTGCAAGGGCCCAGAATAACCTACCAAAGGGCATTGAATCAAAACATGAGGGTGGCAAGCAAAGAAGGTGTTTCTCTTTGTCCCTTTGTTGTGACATTGCTAAAGAATAATGATCAGAGTTAAATTCTGATTCATTGCACCTAAGAGGGAACTTGACAACTTGCCTGACAGTCTCTTCCTCCGGCAGGCCTGCACCAGCTTGCTGTCGCATCAGATGCACTTGACTGTGGGGCTTCCCCCTGAACCTCGTGAGAAGACCATCTCTGCGTGAGTCCCCAAGCTGGCCTGAAAGCTGCGTGTTCCACAGCTTGTACCAGACTTCCTGGCTTTGTAGCAAGCATGTGGGGTTGTCTGGGGTGCACATGGGAGGCCATGAAAGCCGGAGGGAAAGGGCTGGTGGGCCAGTGTGTTGCAAGTCTCTGTGGAACCCAAAGCACACATGGGCCCAGAGAGAGGTGCCTTCTCCATTGCTCAGTCCCAGCATTCCTGGGATTTCTCCAAGTACTTGTGCTAGCAGAGGAGAGGCCATGGTGAGTTCTCTGTGTATCTCTAAGAAGCTCCAAAGGTTGTTCTTCCCCCACCCGCCATGATTGAAAAGCAGCATGGAGGAGACACAAAGTGGACACACTTATGCATATTCTGCCCTCATACAAGCTTTATGCAGAGAATGCATTTCAGATTTGCATAATTATATATACGGTGTTTTACTCCTTATATTAAGATATATGCAGAATATATTTTTTTTGTATGTACAATGATTGGCTGGTGGAGATCAATGAAGATGCAGAGATGAGAAAAGGAGAAGGGTATTAGATTCTGCACTCAGGAAGCATATGCACCAAAGATGCACCATCCTGACTATGGAATGGCATGGCTGTGAGAGCAGAGATGCGCATCCTATCTTTTGTGCAGTACTCGTTCTGTGTGGATGTAGATCTGACAGTGTTGGGATATAGTTATATAGGATAAAGGACCCCCTCATCTCCAGCACTGCCTCCTCTGCAGCCCCTTGCCTTACGAGGAGCTCACCTGCCTGATTGACGAAGCCAGCGACAAGAATATGAGCGTCTCCATCCTGACTCAGGTGAGAGATGAGTGCACCCCCACTTCCTGCCTGGGGGAATGCTTGGAGGTTGTAGCCATGACCAGCTGTTCCCCCCCCCTCCTCTCTTCATGCAGGAGATAATGGTTTACCTAGCCATGTACATCCGAACTCAGCCGGCTCTCTTTGCAGAGATGTTCCGTCTGCGTATTGGACTTATCATCCAGGTGATGGCAACGGAGCTGGCTCAGTCATTGTGTTGCTCGGGTAGGTGGACCTGTGCTTGATCAGCCATGCGCTGCTGTGGCAGATGTAGCTACATGCTGGCCTCCGAATGGCCTCCAGAGTGAAACCCTAGGGGTGGGCTTCTCCACAAAGCCAGTAAAGGCAAGGCGTGGCATACCTAAGGCCAAGAGCAAGCGCTCTGTTTATTGCTTCTTGGCAGCCTCCTGTGCCCTGGAGAGCGTGTCCTCTTTTGTTGAGAAATGTCTGTGGGTTTGCTGTCGATTTGTAAGTGATGGGAATTGGACAGGGGTGGGGAGGAATCACCCACCTTGGCTCTCCGTTTCTGTAGCTGAGGAAGCCACCGAGAGTTTGATGAATCTCAGCCCTTCGGATATGAAGAATCTTCTGCATCACATCCTCAGTGGCAAGGAGTTTGGAGTGGAGAGAAGTGGTGAGTGTAGCTGCCTTAAGGAGCTCTGGCTAGGAAGGAGGCTGGTCCGGATAGGCCTCGACCCTGGTCAACCCAGATCCCTTAGCCTCATCAACAGTGCCCGCCGCTGTTGACTGGCTGGCTGTGTGCTGATGCCTGCTCTCAGTAGTCTCCAGAGTGCCCTGCGGTTGGTTCTTTCCCCGCTCCTTGCATTTCTGTTCTCCTTAATCCCCAAATTACAGAGCGTTTCTTAATCTGTCTTTCATAAGAGAGAGGCTGAACTGCCTAAACTGCCTGAGAGTTCCCCTTCCACTGGATTACTTGCAAACCATACCCTTTGGAATCCACCCCCCAGGCCCCACTTGGCACCTACTTTACTTCCCTTACTTCCCTTTAGGTCAAAACATTTCTTTTTACCCACCCTTTAAAAGAGGTGGTTCCATTTTTGTATGGTCTGCTTCTAGCTCAAGGATTGTTTTATGAGTATCATTTTAGGCTGCTTGGGGTTTGTTTTTTTGTGCTTTTCTGTACCATGTCTTGTTCTTAATTTGTCCTGTTTTTTAAAGAAAAACTTATTTACTTTATTTATAGTCCCCCTTTCTCTCTGAGACTCAAGGCTGTTTATAGGATATAATACAGTCTAATCAAACAGCATAAGACAGCCAATAAACACTGCAATAGGATTAGAGAACAACATGACCAACAAACTATCTAAGGCAAGGTATGCTATAAACAGTACAGAAAGTGGATTACGAGCAGTAAAAATGGGTGATATCTACAACAATTGTAGTGAACTACAACCCTATTCCTTATGTTGCCTTGTTTCAGTTTGTGAGCCACCTAGGTCTTTGGAGAGGCAGCATATACATTTTCTAAATATGTAGGCTGTGGAATTATCCTTTCTGAAAAGTTCAAATCCAAATGCAACTTTTTACACATACAGACCTTTTCTGGGATCATTGGAAGGCTCCATTCTTTGTGCCAGTAGTAATTAGGCAACTGGTGCTTGGGAATGAGCAACCACAACCCGTTTGGATTGTCCTGTTCTAGCCAGCAGCCAATAGGCAGAAGGCCCGTGCGCTGCTGATGTGCTTGTGTGACTACTGATTCTTGTGTAGAATGGGACTTCAGCATACATAGATGATAAAAGCCTCCTGGGCCACAAGGCTGGGTTCTGGGGGCATTTCCAGATTTTGACAATGTCTCTCCCTCGTTTTGCAGTGCGCTCCCTGGATTCAGCATTGACTCCAGCCATCTCCATCCGTGAAGTTGGCCCAGTTGGAGCAACTAAAACCGAACGGGCTGGGATTGTTCGGCTCAAGAGCGAAATCAAGCAGGTCAGGCTGAGTCTGTGCCAGTGCTGAAGTGGTGGTTACCACTTGGTGTGTTGTGGGGTGCTCTGGCACCAAGGGGATCCACCCAGGCTCCTTTTCCTTCTCTCCTCTGCACCCAAATATTTTTCCTCTGCCTCTGTTTTCTTTCAGTTTTATTTTGTAAAATTATAAACAAATTGTTTCCTACTTGCATTATCAGTTTCCAAATGAAAAAAGCCCACAGGGTGAATATAGAAAGGTTGTGTCTGCTTGCAGGGAAATCAGGTATGGTTTCAGGAAGTAGTAACACCCCCCCCCCCAAAGACAGATGCCCAGGGACTACATGAGCTGGCGACATCTTTCAATGCAACTGTGTACTAGATTTGGGACTGGTCAGTAGAAAGCTTGTGAAGAGCGGCAGTGGGCTGGCACCAATGCTTGTCTGACCCAGGCTGCTGCTAAAGGATCCTACAACTGGGCCTTCCCATTGTGCTGAGGCTGGGGGATAGTGCTAAAGCCTGGGTTCTCTGTGCCAATCAGGGGGGCTGTACCCTAGGTACCAGGTACCCAGGTATGTTCCCTGCAGGTAAAACAAGAACTTTGGGGAAGTTTGCAGCAATATTGCCAGAGTTTAAACTCATTGCTCCTCCCTCTCTTTCTTATTCTCTTTCAGCAACTGGATAAACGTAGGCAGTCTTTGTCTGAGCTTAAGGTGAACCCCTCACCCCTCTCAAACGCTAGCTAATGCTGCCACTGTGGGCCCCAGTTTTGGAAGCCTCTAAGCCTGCATGAGCAAAGGGCGAGTGAGCTGGTGTCGCATCAAGCTTGCAGTCCCCTCTGACAAAGTTGCTCTTGTGCCTTTTTAAAAAAAATAGGGGAATGGAAAAGTTTTATAACTGCAACATTAGTCTATACTAGGACTATCGATACTTTCTGCAGAATCAAATCTGGCAAGTCAAGTGGGGCTTCAGAAGGGTTTTAGGGTGCATGGTCCAAAAAGCATCTTGTCCTGTAGAATTCCAGTGAAGCTGAGGGGAGGAAGTTCCCAGTCCCAGCACTTTTGCAAACTTGTTGGCCCCTCTGCTCTTTGGAAGATAGAAATTTCCAGCATCCTGTGGCATGTGTGTGTTGTAAAGTGCCATCAAGTTGTAGCCGACTTATGGCGATCCCTTGGGGTTTTCAAGACAAGAGATATTCAGAATAAATATATGGACTACCCTGTTCCCGTTCTCTTGAGAGTAAAAAATGACCAAGTGCTTAGACTCTTCTCTGTGGGGAACACATGTTGCAACCTTTAACTTTTGGGTGGAGCTGCAGCCAGCTTTTAACCATTCCCCCACCAGTCCAGAGGTTCTATTTTGCCAACTGCAATGGCTTGCTCGCTGACTGACGGGGGCTTTTGTACCCAGGCCCAGTGCCACCACTCACACCAAGATCCAGCAAAGATGGTGTTTGCCCCAGCCTACCTTGATGTCCTCCTTTACCTTCCCTTGCTGGCTTTCTAATAAGATGGCCTGTAAATCTTTCTCATAGCTTTGCTTTAGCAGAAGATAAGCTGCAGCTTCGTATCCTAAACCGGCACTAATGCTACGGTCTTCTGAGACAACCTGACTGGTCTTCTGTTTGTCTGCACCCATGCAGTGTTTGCTGCCGAGGCCTGATCCACTCAACAGGCTGTGATACATGCTTTCTCTTCTCTTCTCTCTCTTTCTATTTTCTTTATTTTTAGTCTGGTGGTTTGCACTCCTTGGAGGCTAGCATGGAAGCTTCCCAGGGAAAAAGCACAACTGGGCTGGGCTTGGAAGGCTTCTCTTCCCTGCTGCTGGGGGTGGGGAGTTGCGTGCCAGGCTTGGGGACTCTCTGGCTTTGCTGCCTTCCGGCCATCCCCAGCACAAGCCCTCTTCTTTGCTCAGTTATCTGGACACTCCATACCACGAAGTGGCACAGGTGAAGACCGTCCTTTCAAGGATGGGCGCCAAGGCCAGTGGCAGAGACGCCGGCGACTGGACGGGGCCCTCAACAGAGTCCCGGTGGGATTCTACCAGAAGGTCTGGAAGATCCTGCAGAAGGTGAGAACCGTCAAGCTCCCTGAGCTGCATAGAAGGGGCAGGATATACAGTTTTGTAATACAACACTTTTTAAAAGGTCTTCTGGAGGGATTTCAGGTGCTGTCGCAGCCATCTTAGCAGAGGGAAGTGCCTTTCTCTCTCTCCCTACCCTTCTTTTCCTGTTCCTTGTCTAAGGATATCTAGCTTTATCACTGCTTTGGAGCTGTGATCACAGTGGCTGTCATCCAAGTAGGACAAATGTTAGCTGTGACTTCCAGGATACTGTGCAATTTTAATGAGCAATATGTTTAAAAGAGAGCTCCCCCCCTATGACCACTAGGGTGGAAATGATCTCTAGCACCATGTTTGGGCAGGGAAGTGTATCCAAGGGGAAGGGTATGAAGTCCTTTTCTGTGGAAGTCTTTGAGATAGACCAGATAAACTTCTGTGCATCTGAGAGAGAAACCAGGTCAGGTTATACCTTCTGTTGAAGTGGTCCCTGTTGATGACGGAATACCCATGCTCCTGAGACAGACAGAGCAGTTCTGTGAGCTATGAGAGTTTAAATGATGCACTGTATGAAAAAGAATATAACAATCCACCTACCTGTAACTGAAATGCATTCAGGGGGCCCCAGCACGCTGCTATGTTCTTTAAATTCTCTTGTCTTGGTCTACAGTGCCATGGACTGTCCGTGGAAGGTTTTGTTCTTCCATCATCTACAACCAAAGAGGTAAAAATTCAGTCTCCTCCTTTCTCCCTCTCCCTTCCCTCCTTGCAGGGTGTCCTGCTGTCCACCAGTCATTGCTGTGTTCAGTAGGATTAGGCCATTGCTGCACTTTCTGAGAAATAGCCAGCTTTGGATACACTTTTGGCCATGTGTCTGGGGATGTGACTGCCTTTGTGCCAGCCATTGTGGCTGCTGTATGGGCTCTGTCATTTGTATGTGTGTTGCAAATTGCTGATATTATTTTCCCCCAAATTACTCTCGCTGTCACCAGCCTCTTCCCTTCCTTCCCTGTGTTGATGGAGTGGTGGCACTTGGTCTTCCTTCTCTCCCAGGAGCAGCTACAGAACTGCTAGGGAGCCTCTGCTGAGCTGGTGGAGAAGACGTAGTTGCTTGTACTTCCATTTGCGTGTACTTCCAAGACATTCAAACCCAGGGGGTGATACTGACCTATTGCTTGCATTCCGAGGCCCAGTGGTGCAAAAGTTTTGCATTCAGAACATCTCTGTGGACTCTGTGCCTTTGCACAGCTATTCCCCTGTGGCCATTTCCCTCTGTTGAGGCCAGAAGGTCTCTTTTGCAAAGTGGAGGTGAACCTCTGTACGCGTCTCACTGCCTTCACATCTGCCTCCATTTATTTGGTTTGGAGGGCTCATTCCCCCCCCCATTTCATCTGCTATTCTTCTTTTCCTGTGTATTCTTGTTTGCATCTCCCCCCGCCCATGACAGATGACTCCAGGAGAGATCAAGTTTGCAGTCCATGTCGAGTCTGTCCTAAACAGAGTCCCGCAGCCAGAATACCGGCAGCTGTTTGTTGAGGCCATTCTGGTCCTGACGATGCTAGCGGAGGTGGACGTGCATTGCCTTGGCAGCATCATTGCAGTGGAGAAGATTGTGCACCTTGCGAACAACTTATTCTACGAGGAACAGGTAGAGGCTTCCTTTGGTTTGTCTGGAGGTTCGAAGCAAACGCAGCCTTGTTCTGGGTGGGAACGTTGGGGGCTGGAGCATGTTGCCATTAAAGGCTGGGCTGCAACAGTAAATCTGCACAGTCCTCCCCAGTTTAAATCCTCCAGCTGTTGCCTGGAAATGTCAACCTAAATGGGGTGGGTCCTACCTGATGCTACCACCCCACTGACTGAGCCATGTTTGAAGCCCCCCTGCAACCTAAGGAGCCTTCTTCCAACTAAAGTGGGTTTTCTGTTGGAGGAACAGCCGCTTAAGTTAGAGGAAGGCTTCTTGGAGGATCCACCCCAATACATGGCTGGAACATTAAATGTCCAAACCGTGCAAAAGGAATCTGTACAACCTCCAGGAAACACGGGAGACAGATAAATGTGTGCCTCTTTTTGTTTGCAGAACAGCAGAGTCATAAAAAATGATTATGGGGTGGGGAGCGTCAGCTCTGAATAATAAGCTCTAGCAGTAATTCCTCTTCCTTCTCCTTCCCTGCTGAAACAGAAAGCCCTGGGTGCCGATGACAACATGCTGGAAAAGGACCCAGCCACAGGGATCTGCACCTTGCTCTATGACAGCGCCCCTAGTGGCAGGTTTGGCACCATGACGTACCTCTCCAAAGCCGTGGTTACCTACCTGCAGGAGTTCCTTCCCAGCAGTGGCTGCACCATGCAGTAAGCCAGTTCAGGTTTCTCTGTATGAGCTGGAAGAACAACCTGGGGATTTAGGTGTAGGTCTGAAGGCCAGCACTGAGCTGTCTGGTTGGCAGTTGGATCACCTCTTCTCAGCAAAGACATCCAGTCTGGGTGACTGAAACTTCCTTGGCACAGTACTGCTGGAGATGAACTTTGTGCTGCAACATCTGCCCTGAGAAAAAGACTTCTGAGCATTGCAGGAGAGCGTGTGTTGTGCAAGAAGCTGTGTCTGCACACAAACTGTGTATACAGAACCCCCTTTGCTTCAAGGAGGGTCTGTGCTCCTTAGACAGAGGGTTCTGGGATTGGATCCTCTTAGGCTGATGGCTGCCATTTGCACAACCTTACTGCTTGAGTTTGAACGGAGAGGTCAAGAGGGCTCCTCATGCTCTAGGCATCTGCTTTTAGGGGGGTTCCTACTTGCATGCAGCTGTAGATTTTGTTACTGGGTTAAAAAAAATATCTCTCCATTTATCCTGGGATTTTTACCTCTGCTCTGTGAGACTTCGATCAACCAGATGTGTTGCTGCTCCTTACCTGGGATACTAGTCTTCCCATAAACCCTTTGTTTGTAGTCTCCCCCTCATGAATGCCTTGAGTGCCTTTAATGTCGTCCATTGTACTCCAGCCTCAGGGGGCTTCTCTTCACTCTCGCTGATGTCCTGACCACAGGCTGGAACTTCGGCTGCCTCCTGTTAGTCAGGGTATTATTATGTGCTGCAAACCATCTCATACAGAAACTACTCGTCTGAGCTTGTGTTCTTTTCAAGTCAGCAGCTTGCCAAATGAAAGTCATTTCGAGTGCAACCAGAGTCAATGAATCTGTCTGCAGGGAGATAAGGGTTCAGCATTTTTCTTCTCAGTGGGGGCTTTTGTTCCATCGTCTTCCTGCCTCCACTGAGAGGATCTGCCAAAAGGCTTTAAACAGAACCCTGGCTCTCATGACTAGCCTTGGCCTGCAGACATGCTGGCGAGGGTGGATGTGCTACTACAGTGATAGGGCTCCGGCTGCCCTGCTCCAAGGAAAATTAGTGGCTGTGGGTCATGTGGGAGAGAAGGAGAGTTGTTTGATTCTCAGAAAATCAACAGAAGCTTTGAAGGGCTTGGAAAGTGCTTGGTCTTTATGGTGAGATGTGGGGTTTCCATAAATAGGGCTTCCAGGGCTCAAAGTTACCACTGTGTGTTTGAAATAAATGACTTTGCCAAGTATTTAAAATATCAGTATGACTTTCTGGGAAGGGGAGCTCACTGTAGCCCATTAAAGGACTGAAATCCTTGGTGAGGGCATGTTGCCACTGAAATCCTTGGTGAGGGCATGTTGCCACTTCAGGAATATGTAACTCCAGGCTTCCCCTTCAGAGGAAAGGAGCTAAACATAGGGGCAGAGCTAGAAGACTACAGGCCAGGCCGTTGCTTGGAAGGGCTCCAGAAAGGGGCTCCAGAAGGGGAAACATGGCCCCACTTTTGTGTGAAGCAATAAGTGTGATGGCTGTGCTTGCTTGCTTGGTTTCAAGTGCCAAATCTTTTGCGAAGGAAGCAGGGGATGCTTTACCCGCCCTCCCCTCATCTCAATCTGGGATACAAAAATGCATCTTGTTCAAGTGGTTCCTGAGTTTACATGTTTGGGCTGGTTATTGTAATGCACTTTGTGATAGTTTACCGAATTATCCAATTGCACTTTCTATTCAGTCTGGACTCATAAGCTCTATGAATTCTGAAAACTCCACACCTCGCTCTTTGGGAGGTTTTTGTGTGTGCTGCTGATAAGCAGGATGCAGTTGGCTTTGTTTTGTTCCCTCCCCCCCACCCAAGAAAATTGCAATACTGTTCCTTTCAGTGAGCATTGAAAACCTAGAATAAAATGCCTCTATTTCATCTCTGTTTTGTTTTGTGTTTTCTCATGCATTAACTGGTTACAGTGAGATAAGAACCAAAGCAATGAGTAGGCTGGAATTTAGCACTGGGTGGAAGGAAGAATTGTTAATAACAATACTTGGCTGAAGTGGAAACTGGCTGGTAAATTTCCACAGTAGCCTTGCGGAAAGCAAAGGAAGTATATTTCTCTAGTTAAAATATAGAAAAGCTGTTTTAAATACAGTCACACCACTCATCCATCTAGCTTAGTCTTTAGGTAGTGGCCTTCACGGGAGGGAGTTCTTTCTGAACATCCACTGTTTGAAATCCTTTAACTAGAGATTAAGCATGATCCTTCTGCACACAGCCACAGTCCCTCCATACATTTGATCTGTAGTTGAGTAGGGAGGTATACCTAGGGCCCAATTTGGAATCATCTTGGTAACCCCTAGTGCAATTAATAGGCTGTCTTCAAGACTGTGGGTACTGAATCAATAGACCAGGGGTGTCAAACTTTAGGCCCGCGAGCCGGAAGCAGCCCACCCATGGCTTTAATAGGGCCTGGGGCTCATTTCTTCCCTCCTCTAACCCCTCCTGTCCTCCTCACATTTTGAGGCTGACAAAGTTCCCAGCTTCCTCTGTCTTGTCTTTGCCTGCTTTGGCAGGAAGCTCTTCTGGGATTGCAAAGTTACAAAGAAAATATGGATTGTTTCCAGCAATAGAAACATTGCTCTGGGACTGGAATGACAGCCCCCAGAGTAAAATGATGGTCCCTAGCAATAGAACCTGTGCAGAATGGTGCAGAATGGAATGACAGCTCCTTTGAGTAGGAGGTGCAGAATGGAATGACAGCTCCTGTGAGTAGGAGCATCATTCTGGGAATGGAATTCCACTCTGGGGGCCCTCATCCCAATTCCAGAATGCTTCTGGAGGGTGCAGAATGGAATGACAGCTCCTGTGAGTAGGAGCATCATTCTGGGAATGGAATTCCACTCTGGGGGCCCTCATCCCAATCCCATAATGCTTCTGCTACTCCCAGGGACTGTCATTTCACTCTGGTGGCTGTCATTCCAATCCTAGAGTAGTCTATCTGGGCCCAGAGACCTTAATGGGAAATCCATTCCGCATTTTTTTGCAACTTTGTGCTGCAATGTATTTTAGTGGAGTGAAGCTCAAGAAGTTTCACTTTCCAGTGTTTGTATAGTTGAAGCTGTGGCTGATGGAGTTGTCTCATTGCAAATACAGGGTTGATGTTTTGAGCCAGCTTGTCTCTGCTGAATGGACCTGAGAACAGGTGACTGGCTGAATACTGTAACCTGGGAACCCACAGCCAAAGGGGGACATTACACCGGAGAGCCACTGTCACCCTGAGTAGACCTGTGGGGGAGGGGAGAAACATGCAATGCCCAGCCATTTTATGTTCCTAGGCTTAGAGTATTTTATATTTTTAGTTTATATTTTTAATTTCTGCTGTGATCCTTGTGCTTTTTCTTGATGTTTTATTTTTTTAAATTGCATTGCCAAACCCCACTATTACCCCACATTTCCATTTTAGGCAGTTGTCTTTTAGGGGGAGAGGTTTGGGAGGTGTCAGTTATCAAAGACTGCTAAATATTGCAAGAGTTTTAAGCATATTTGTATTTTAAGTAAAAAGATATCTTTGTGTTTTTATCTTTTATAAAGTTTATGTCTCTGCTTCCTGGCATTACATTTTATGACACACATGGCCTGGCCATACAAAGGCCCATTTATGTCAAATCTAACCCTTGTAACAAATGAGTTCAACACCCCTGCAGTAGACTATTCTGAGGAAATTGCTGCCAGACGTGAAACCCCCTGTAATTATTTTGGGGTTAATTTATCATACAATGGAAGTAAATTCCACCCCCAGCCAGAAATCTCCCACACTGGCCCCCCTCCCTTTCAGTGGAGATGAACCAGCAAATCTACCAACTTTTTCCAGGCTTCAGTACACATAAGTCTAAATAACTTGGGGGAAACACTTATTTCACTAAAAGATAAAAATTTATACTTGGAGGCTACAAGCTAGCTTGATCTCATCATGTCTCAGAATCTAAGCAGGGTTTTAAGTACAGTCCAACCACTGTATTTAAGCAGGGTTGGCCTGGTTAGTATTTGAGTAGGAAACCACCACCAAGAAATTCCAGGGAATGCAGGAGGGTAATGGCAAACCACCTCTGTTAGTCTCTTGCCCTGAAAACACTATCGGGGTGCCGCCATAAATCGGCTGGGATTTGAGGGCACTACACACACACACTGAAGAGTGAAGTCAAACCACCGATGTTGCATTAAAAAAAAAAACAGCCTCGAGCAAACTAAATAT